TTTTTTATACAATCTAGTCCACTCCCTTCACACTAAATCCTATCTTCCGGCGCCTTTATATACGGAGGTTGAGACATTCATATTTTGTAGTAAAAGAAAAGAAATGCTCAGCGCGCCAGTTCTTACTACAAACACACACAGAACCGCAGAGATGGCACCCACGGCCACGGCGAACTTCGACAGAATTAAGGAGCTTAAGCAATTCGATGACTCGAAGACCGGCGTCAAGGGCCTCCTCGAATCCGGCGTCACCACCCTCCCCCGGATTTTCGTCCACCCTCCGGAAATCCTATCCGATCTCAAGCCCGGCAAGCGCCACGTGACGATTCCCGTCGTCGACCTCTCCGGCTCGTATTCCGACGATCAGCACGCCGCCGTCGTCGAGGACGTGAGGCGCGCCGCCAGCGAGTTCGGCTTCTTCCAAGTCGTCAACCACGGGATTCCGGACGAAACCGTCGACGGCATCATCGGGGCCATCAAGTCCTTCAACGAGCAGCCGCCGGAGTACCGGTCGCAGTACTACCGGAGGGCGGTCGGGTCCGGAGTTTCGTACCTCTCGAACGTCGATCTTTACAGGTCCAAGGCCGCCAGCTGGCGCGACACGCTGCTGGCGGCGCTGAGTCCCAACCCGCCGAAGCGGGAGGAGTGGCCGGAGGTGTGCGCCGACGCGGTGCCAGCGTGGGACCGGGAGGTTGAGAGGCTGGGAGGTTTGTTGCTGGATTTGCTTGGGGAAGGGCTGGGATTGCCTGCGGGGAGGCTTAGCGAGACGTGTTTAGACGGGAGGACATTGGTGGGCCATTACTATCCTTATTGTCCTGAACCTGATCAGACGCTTGGGATTTCAGCTCATCCCGACCCGGGGGCTTTAACGGTGCTGGTTCAGGACCAAGTGGGCGGTTTGCAGGTTAAGCACAATGGGGAATGGATTGATATTGAGCCTGTCCCTGGGGCTCTTGTTATCAACATTGGAGATTTACTTCAGGTATTAAAACTAATTACACTAAGGGTGTGGTTCTTTCAGGAGTTCTGCTCAAATATGATTTTTGTTCGTGTTTTTATCTTATAAAAAATTTAAATTTTAAACGTCAATCATAAATTATGGTTTAAATTCATGAACTAAACGGAACCTTATAAATTAACTTAACTACTGATTTTAACTTTATACGTAGTTATTGAAATCTAGAGTCTACTCGTACGCTTGGTATAAATTTCTTGGCTTTAAGTCATGCATATTACTTTCCTTCAAATTTTTAAGCTAAAAAATAATGAAATTAGCCCTAGTATATATATGAAATGACCATGCTATGGAGTTTGTTTACAAATTTAGACAGTACATGCAACTTAAAAAATGTTGAGGAATTTCTCATTCTTTCGGTTCTGGTTATTCAGATTATGTCAAATGATGCGTACAAAAGCGCGGAGCACAGAGTGTTTGCTAATTCAACCAAAGAACCGCGAATTTCTATTGCGATTTTCATCAACCCGAGCGATCATGAAAGTATGTTTGGTCCGCAGCCGGAGCTGATATCGCCAGAGAAACCGGCACAATACCGGGAGTTCAAGTATCCGGAGTTCATGGACAAGTTCTTCAGCAG